AACTTTTGAAACACAGAAACAACTTCAGATTTAGTTTTAAGTTGACAGATCCAAGTAAATCTGGAATAAGCATCCACAAAGGACATGTAATACAAGAAACCAGATGCAGAAGCCTTGGGTGAGGGCCCTCATAGGTCAGTATAAATTAGTTCAAGAGGTTTTGTGTAAACTGTGTGTGAAGTGGGAGCATGTAACCTGTGAGATTTACCCATACAGCAAGCAGAACAGAACATATCACAATTTTTATTATTGAACTGAACATTACAGTTTTGTAAAACAAGTTTGAGAGCATGATTGTTAGGATGTCCTAACCTAAGATGCCACATGTAAGGCAAGCTAGTAAAAGAAGACACAATATTAGCACTAGGTGCAGCATTATTGGAAGAGAAATTAGAAGAATGCAGAAAGGACTTAGCAGGTTGGGACACATCAACAGAAGGAAACTCATAGAGTCCATCAGCTCCTACACGACCTTCAAGAAGAGTGGCATTAGACACCTGGCATTTAACAAGGCACTTGTCAGCTGAGAATAAAAAAATACACATGGTTATCCTTAGAGAACTGACTGACACTAAGCAGATTCTTAGTGATAGCAGGAACATGAAGTAAGTTCTTGAGAGTGAGGTGTGTGGTAGGATGAAAAAGGGAAGGGAAAGAACTTGAGCCAGCAGACTGAATAGTCAAACCTTGTCCATTATCAATGTAAATTTGATCATGACCTTCAAAGGGAGTCACATGTTGTAAGTTCTTTGCATCACTAGTGACATGGTATGAGGCGCCAGAATCAGGAAACCAGGAGCCAGAAGGAGATGGAGAAACATTAGCCACAAAGGTGCTTGGAGGTGGTGGAACAGCAGAAGAGTAAGAAGGCACAGTAGGAGGCCTGGTCCATACATAAGGAGAGGCTTGAGAAGGTGCCTGTGTGTAGTAGGCATGAGCACCCTGCCAATGAGGTTGCACATAGTTTGCACCAGCAGCTTGAAACTGATAGTTGAACCTATGCCAGCACTGCAAGGCAGAATGACCAGGCTTGGAGCAGACTTGGCACTGGACATTAGAATTGGAGAATCTGCCACCTCTGCTACGGCCAAATCTACCACCACGATGACCTTTTCCCCCTCTAAAAGGTTGATAATCCTGCACTTGATTAGGCTGACCACTGTGAGCAGAGGAAGAATCAATGACAGGAGTTGGAGATTCATCTGTTGTTGATGGTTGAGCCACAACATGTGTTTGGCTGCTTCTTGAACTTGTTCAAGCGCAGTTCATGAGCAACCAGAAGGATTTCAACCTCATCAATGTCCATTATTCCAAATTTGCTTTCAACAACAGACACTACTGGAGCAAATTCAACAGGTAAGCCCTCAAGAATTACATCAATATGATGTGCCACAGGAATAGGATCACCAATGGACGCAAGCGCATCAACAATGGTGCGAATCTTCAGCAAGTAGTCTTGAACAGAAAGAGTATCCAGTGTGAGCGCACGCATTTCAACACGCAGTTGGCGTGCCCTAGCACGAGTCTGTTTCTGAAAATAGCTGAAGAGGCGATCCCATAGTTAATGAGAATAGTGACAGCCAAGCACGCGTGAGAGAATTTCACTGGAAAGTGTTGATTGAAGCCAGGACAACAGCATTTGGTCCTTCTGAATCCAGCGAGAGTACGCTGGATTGATAGAGCCAGAACGACGAGCAGCATCATCAACGAATTTCGCTGGAACACGAGCGCAAACTACCAGATCTGTGAGATCGTGCACGTTAATGTAAGGTTCTACCTGTTGACGCCAGAGATGGAAGTTCTTTTCATCCAGCTTCTGTGAAATCTTGAGCGAGAAGTGCAGGCGACGAGAATCCTCCATTATCGGCGCCGGAGACGGCGTTTGTTTAGCCGGACTAGGCGAGACCATAGCGGAAGGCGGAGGCGATTGCGAAGCAGGCGAAGCCATGGATCGACTCAGCAGTCTGATACCATATTAGAAAAGAAGAATGAGAAGAAGAGAGTATTCATCTATAACAGAATTCTGTTATTCTGTTTTCTGATTTTTTCAGTTATTACAAAAAGGCTCCTTGATGCTTTATATACAGCATCAAGGGTAACCTGCTATTACAGGTTAGGGCATACTGTAACTTACAGTTGCCAGTCAAGGGAATAACAGTAAAGCTACTTATACAGCTACTTATACATTCAATAGTTTCGAACAACAAAATCTGGGTTTCAATTCCCAAGGTGAAGCTAAAGTTAGTGCAAATCTCGTTTCTATGAATGGCAGCCATTGGTGGTGGTGGTTTTTTGAGCTTCTAGATCTGTGAAAAAGATGAAGATTATCTTCTTCCTTTGGACCAAGCTGCAACAAATCGCTAAATTTATAACTCAAAATCAGCAACAAACCTTTAAATCATATGCAACAAACCTTTAAATCATATAACCATGTTAACCCACAAACCTTGAAATTTCTACCAGTTCTGGCTGTACCAATCACAAGGAAAAATATAAGGATGTAACTTGCAATAGCACTCGAAGAATTTATGCTAATGAAATGGTAGTTGAATTTATACTAATGAAATGGTAGTTGGAACAGTCATGAATCTCTGCAAACTCAGTCACAATCTCTGATCAATCTTTCCTTTACATTTTAATTCATTATATAGATAGTTTCATTAGTCCCTAATCTTCCTCATGTTAATTTGTTCAAAGAGGTTTTCAATACAGTATCGATAAATTGAAGTTAGGAATTTATGTGTGTTAATTTGTTTAAAAAAGTTTGCTATCAGTTAGGAATTTGTGTGTTAACTTGTTTAAAAAAGTTTGCTATCAATGCTATGGATTGGAATTTCTGTTAAAGAGAGTAGGAACACTTATAGAAAAATATCTTTAAACACCTAGAAAACCTAAACAATCAAGAAATCCCCAAAATACAAAGAAGATGAAGATGATATTAAAAACTCAGAAATTATGTTTTAGTGACCGATTCTTCAGTCGCTAAATCGGTCACAAGTTTAATGCTACACGTCCCTTGCCACGTCAGAAAAAATTGACGCCGTTACTACTATTTGAATAAAAAGGACTAACTTGATACGATTTAAAAAGTTGAAGGACTAAAACGGTCTTATTAAAACTTAAGGGACCAAAATAGACCTCGAGATATAGATAAGGGACCAAAAAGGATATTTTTCCAAAAAAAAAACCGTTTTGAAGTTCCGATGAGGTATCTAATGATTCGATGCACTGCTGAAAGATGGAAATGTCGTGGTGCTTGCATGAACCTACTAACCATGTGCACAACAAAAGAAATATCTGGGCAAGTGATAGTTACATAGATAAGACTACCAACCAGCTTACGATAAAGAGTTGGATCATCAAGAAGGTCACTTTCATCTCGTCGATATTTAACATTAACTTCTATGGGAGTGTCAACAGGATTTCCGCTTGTGAGTTCAGCAAGTTGAACTAGATCTTTAATGTACTTTTGTTTATTTAAAAAAATTCCTTCTGGTTGATAATGTACCTCTAACTAGGGGTGTTCGCGGTGCGGTTTGGGCGGTTTTGAAACAAAAAATCACCTGAACCGCAAGAGAAAAAAATGTGCGGTTTGGTTTGGTTCGGTTGGTTTTTAAAAATAAAACCGAACCAAACCAAACCAAACTAATACGGTTTGGATTGGTTCGGTTGGTGCGGTTTTTTACAAAAAAATTATTTAGCCATACATACACATATAGAGAAAAATATAATTTTGTGTTTAACCATTCATACATTACCATAAAAAATTTCTAATTGTCAAAATAAGTTTATAATTTGTTACATAAAACTGCGTATTATAATTTTATCTAAATCTAAAGAATGATATACATAAGATTGCTTTCTTAAATAAATATTATACAAAGAATACGATAAAATTTATTTTATGAGAATAGTATTTATAAATGAATAATATTTCATTTTTTATGATTTGTAAATTAAAATACATATCATACAAAGAATATGATAAAATATACACATAATACAGTTGATTTCTCTAAAGAATTAAAGAAATATATTGGTTAATAAGATTTAATAACATAATGCGGTTTGGTTCGGTTTACAAAATACAAACCGCAAACCAAACCAAACCATGCGGTTCTATTAGAAAATGACCCAAACACATCCGAATCAAATGCGGTTTTTTGAGGTTTCGGTTTGGTTCGGTTTGGTTTTGCGGTTTTCTATTGGGCCGGTTTGGTTTTGAACACCCCTACCTCTAACCCCAAGAAATAAGTAAGACGTCCCCATTCTTTCATGTAAAAAGATGAAAATGCAACATGTGTCTGATTTTAGAGATACCTTCTTGATCAGAACCATTTACCACAATATCATCCATATAAACAAAAAGCACCACAATACCTTTAGGAGTCCTTTGTAGAAAAAGTGATGGATCATATTGACTTTGAATAAATGAAAAACCAAGGTAGATCGGAACTTTGCAAACCATACTCTTGGTGCCTGTTTTAAACCATATAGCAATCATTTTAGTGTGCAAACAGTATTTGAGGAAGAAGTAGGCATACCATTGGGAAGTTTGATGTAAACTTCTTCCTTAAGATCACCGTGTAGGAATGCATTTTTCACATCTATTTGATGTAGTGGCCAAGATTGTGATGCAGCAAGAGCAAGAATGGTGTGGTCAGTAGTCATCTTGGCGACTGGGGCAAAAGTCTCGTCATAGTCTAGTCCATACTCTTTCTTATTTTCAAGCAATACTAGACGAGCCTTGTAACGATCTATTGATGCATCTGAACGCAACTTTATAGAAAGCACAAATCTGCGGCCTAAAGGTTCAATAGTTGGAGGACAAGGTACAATTTGCCATGTTTGATTTTCTTCTAAGGCCCAGAAGTTAATTTTCAATAGTTGTCTGCCAACAACCATCCTCCATTGCCTGTTTATAAGAAGAGGGAATAGGAACACAAGACAATGCTGCTGTCAAGGATAAGGGATTAGAGAAACCATATTTTTCTGGCGGCTTACGGATGCGCGTACTGTGTCGTATAGGGGCCTGATTCTGGTTTCTGTGTTGGATCAGCAGTCGAAGAACTTTCTCGAAGGGGCCCGTGGGAGTCAGCTGACTGATTTTGGGTGACAACACGACGTCTTTGGTAGGTCAATAGGGGCTTAGTGGATGGCTGACCTGCAGAGGAGTTAGAAAACAGTGGCAAAACAAAAAATGTTCAAGGAAGATCATGATGGGTTGCAAAAAAATATTTATTTTCAAAGAAAATGACATTTCTAGAAACCTGAATTCGACGAAGATTAGGATCATAGCATAAAAATCCTTTTTGATGAGATGAATATCCAAGAAAAGCACATTCAACTGATTGTGCCGTGAGTTTAGTGCGTTCTTGTGGAGGAAGATGGACGTAACACACATCCGAAAACACGATGAGTGGAGTAATCTGGTGGGTTACCAAATACTCGCAGAATGGACATTCATTATTTATTGACGGGGATGGCAAGTTGTTTATAAGATGAATTGCTGTGGATAGGGCTTCACACCAGAATCGTGGTGGCACATGAGACTCAATTAAAAGTGTGCGGACAACATCTCAAGCAAATGACGATTTTTTCTTTCAGCTACCCCATTTTATTGGGGAGTTGAGGGACATGATCTTTGAGATACAATCTCATTAGATTGCAAGAATTCTTGAAAAGAGTTTGATGTGTATTCGCCCCCATTGTCAGAGTGAAGTATTTTGATTTTGGATGAAAATTGGGTCTGAACATAAGCATTAAAAATTTTAAAAGTGGAAAAAACTTCATCTTTTGAGCGCAAAAAATAGACCCATGTAAAACGACTATAATCATCAATAAAAGTTACAAAATATTTGTAATTTGCATGAGATATAATCGGTGCCACTCCCTAAACATCATTATGGATAAATATCAAAAGATTGTGTTACATTCAGTTGGTGTGTTGGAAAAGGAAGAATTTTACTTTTGCCATGCTCACAAGGAATGCAGTCAAAATGAATAGAATTAAGAGATGAAGTGTGTTTATTTCCAAGAAAACCAGATTTTAGTATGTCATGGAGTATATTCAAATTTGGATGCCCAGGACTCCTATGTCACATTTGATAATCAACGGTTGCAACATTGCACAAAATAGAAGGTAAAGAAAGACTTAGAAACAAAGATAAATTGAGTGGAAAGAGACATCCAACTTTAGGCCGGTTCGCAATTATAGTCCCTGAGTGTTGATCCTGCACAAGACAACCAGACTTTGTGAATTGTACTTCACAATCATTGTCAACTAATTGACCAACAAAAATAAGATTACTAGTGAGACCAAGAGAAACAAAAGCATTGGTTAAAGTTGAAGAAATATCACCAGTTGCTGTGATAGGTAATTGATTTTCATCAGCAGTATGTATCTTGAGATTTCCAGAATATTTGGTGATATTATTAAGAAATTGAGCTTTGTTGGTCATGTGGTTCGAAGCCCCAGAATCAAAGTACTAAGGCGAAGATGATTTACCTGAGAATCCCAAAGCAGAGAACGCTGAAATGGTCATTTACTGAACCATTTCAAGGGTCAAAATCTGGACGGCAGTAGGCACATGTTGTTGGACAGCAGTAGGTGCATTTTGTTGGACACCAGTAGACAGATCAACCGAAGTTGTGAAGGCTGTTGCATTTCACTTTGGTGGCCTAGTTGGACATTCTTTAATAATGTGCCCATCCTTTTGCAATAATTGCAGATTTTTTTTGGACAGTTGGAGGCGTAATGTCCAGAGCTCTTGCAACAAAAGCATTGAATATTGCTCATATCATGGTTTCTTGACCTCCCTTGTGCTGTATATGCCACTGGGACAGTAGATGATTTTTGTTCTTCAATGATGGATTATGTAAGCAAGCACTGTTCTTCACTTAACAAATCACTGAGACACACATCCAATGAGGGTATTGGGTCTCTATGCATCAGATTTGAGCGGATACCTTCAAAATGGTATCTCAATTTCATAAGAAACTGATCTCGTTTAGTAGTGTCATGAACTATTTGTACTGTACTTAGGCCTACGGTACATAGGTTTGAATAAACTATACACTATATCAGTGTGTTCAGCCCAAATATTCATGAATTGAGAGTAAAAATCAGATATAGAGACTTTCCTGTTTGAGATTAGCTATGTCGTGCTCCAGCTGGAATCTTCAGACTGCATTCTTCTGACTATAGATTTTCTTCAAGTAAGCCCACATTGTTGTTGCAGTCTTGTAAGGTCGAAGGTTCAGAACAATGTTCAGATCAACCAAACCAATGATCCAAGACATGATTTGAGCGTCTTTGACCACTCATTTAACATGTTCAACCTTATCTTTGTCTTTGTTAGGGGCAGAAGTTGTTTCATCAACATGACCCCACACATCTTTTCCTTTGACATATAAAGAGAATTGGAATTCCCAAGCTGAATAGTTTTTGCCATTAAGGCGAACCATGAAAACATCTCCTTTTTCTTTTGACATTGAATCAAAGAACATTGGAAACACGAGATCGAAATTTTGATTGGAAAAAAAAACATAAGGAAAAGAACAAGACTGAGAAATTCAGAGTGGAAAGACAAGACTAGAGAATAAAGACTAGATTTTGGATCATGACATGCTATGATGCCATGTCAAACTCAGATTCTATGACTGAAAAACTATGTTCTCCCTTGGAAGAATTCTTATATAAATACATGTCAAATTACCAGATAATTGGCTGATTCAATCTAATAAATCAGCAACTGTCATAACTGCAGTATAATATACATTTATGCACAATTATTCTGATCAGTAATTATCATAACTGCAGTCATTAAACCTATTGACAAATTGAACGGATGAGAATTCTTCAAAGTCAGGGTGACATTCCCACGTCAAAGTTAGACAATCTGAACCCGACATTTTCATGTTGCCTCTAACATCTTGCCCATATTGGGGATTTGTTTAGCAACAGAATTCTCAATTACCATAGGGTCCCTATCAAGTTCATTGGTTCATCATTGCTAATGGATAGTTTTCTGTTTTCTGTAAATTCTAATTTCTTGCTACTAAAGTAAATGACTTTATATACTCTGGAGTGGTTTTGCACGTTACAGTCTATTGAAAATGCATTTTTTTTTATTGGGGGCCTTCTATGTGTATTTCACAGCTTCTGGACAAAATTGGACCTGCGACTGAAGAATTAAAAGGCAAGGGAATTGATTTCTCATTATGGTACAAACCTGAGGATTACACGACTGACTTTTAACGAGACAGCAAAGCCACCAACAATTGTTTTTCTTGTTTTACGCCCACTCGGGTGATATTAATCTTCAATTACATTTTTTTAATCCCAAAATAGAGAAATTTTACTATAATTGTTGTTATAATTATTTCTGAGTATACTATTTTATACTCTTTGTTCAAAATTTCAGTAATTTAGAAGAGTTAAGGAATTAATATAATACCTTTTTAAATTAAGAGATAAAAATGAACTTTGTTGTTAACTTTTATTTTGTATTGGAATCAAGAAGGATCGGCATGTTAAAGATAAAACCATTGTGAAGGTGTTTATGATGTTATGGTGACAATTTTCTAGTGATCGGAGAGGATACTTGTAAACAAGGTTAATAGCAGCAGCTCTCTAATGCTCAAATCAATATGTGCATAATTAGAGGTCCACACGTAAATTGGTGATTTGTATGTTATTTGTATGTTATGAATATTTAATTTTTATTCTTTGAAATTGAAGTAGTTGAATTTAGTGTGTTTGCTATTGGTTACATAGGAGAATGTGAAATATACTAAATTTTGACATCAAAGTTTGTAATTTGGTGATGAATAAGAATTCATATTTTGAGAGATAATGGCAACTAGTAAATGTACATGCTCACAAGCTATTTGTGTGGCATGAGAATCTACTTACCAAAATACTATTATTGCATGTGGGACGTGAAACTATGAATTCAATATTGATGAATTAAAATGGTGGAAAATATTCAATCTAAAATATAAAAAGGTTTCACCAAATATGAGTGAGAAATTAACAAAGGATAAGAAAAAGGTTTGGTGGTGCACCAACAATCAGAAAAACATTAGAAATGTTAGTTCAAGCAGCAAAGGCCATAATGAATTTGAAAAGTTTAAAATTAGGGTTAGTTTTTCATTCTTAGAATTGCTCATTTATATATTTTATTTTTTTGGTTTTCACCATTTGTACCTAGTCTAATGAACCGATTAATTCGATTTAGAGACAAGTTCTAACATCAAATGATTTCGTTCTTTCTTAATCACAATTATGAGAAATTGAACTGTGATTTTCTCTATTAAATTTAACATCAATTATTATTGAATCACTAAATTTATCTAAAAAATTCTAAAAAAACAATTCCGGAGATCACTTCCATAATAAAAATAAACTCATAAATTACAAAACTCAAAGTCACTCAAGATTTTAACATACACTTTAACCATAAAGCAAACTTGTCTTTGACTTTCATTCAAAGACAAACATAGACACCAATACATAATAATCAAAAGATAAATAAATTGAACACGATATTGATAATAATTTAAGACAATCGCGTAAAATATGAAATGTCTGTTGGCACGCCATTGTAGGTGTCAGCTTTCAGAGGTTTTATTCATGTCACAATTGAAAACTTTCAAACACATAAAAACTAAGATGTTGTTTTAAACAAGTGCATGATTGTGAGTTTCAAGAAAATTCACCAACAGAGTAGTAAAAAAACAAAACACGTTATATTGAACTGTTTCTATGCAATTGCAATCATTATCAAAAACTAATTCTACGTAAATTTACAATAAAATTCACCGGCTGAGAAGTAAAAAAATAAAAGTAAAATATTTTTTTGATTCCTTAAGTTTACACTGGGGTCCATTATCTTTAAAAAATTTGCAATTTGTCATTTAATCGTTCAAAAAGGTCCACGTTAATCCTTTCCGTCCATTTTTTGAAACGGCATCAACTTTTGTTTAGGTGATATCTGATGTGGCGCTTAGTCATACGTGTGACACGTGACTTGACAAACATTAATCTTCAAGGTCATTAAATAATTAGAAGAGAAACATACTTACCATTGAGCCACTTCACAATTGTTATTATAATTACATTTAAGTTTATTATCAAGCCATCATTATTATACCGTGTACATGCACCATCATTATTGATAAAACATGCACCATAAATATCTGCACTATAGAAGTCTGCACCATGACAAGGGAGACCATAGAAGTCACACAACACTCATCAATACTCAATCCAACACATACAAAACAAACACAAGAATCAAGAAACGCACGGTAAGTGAATAAGAAGAAGAAAAACAAGTTGAAGAGAAGAGTTGGAGTGAGAGTCAGAAGAAGATAAAGAAACCAATGAATTGACGGAATTACCTTTGAATACGCGTTGGAGTTTGTTGTCAGCGTATCAAAATTGCTAAGCTTCAAACAGGTTTCCATTAATACTTTTTGTGTTTACTCCTTTTCGATATATTACTCTTTAATATACATGATTGAAGAGGTTCTTGTGTGAAATTTGTAAGGGATTCGAGTTTAGAGGGAGAAAGAAAAAAAAGGTGCAAAAAAGACTACTAAGAAAGCAAAAAGAAAACACAAAAGAAAAATCCAACAACAAACAAAAAATAACAAAAATATCAAAAATCCAACCCTGAACTCATGGAACCTGTTCTCCTCCAACTTCGGAACTCATGAAACTTGTTCTTTGTATTGTTGCAGGAACAAGAGTTGTTACCACAACCATGATAAGTGAGATTCAAAATTATTGAATCATATTAATAAAACAATAACCAAAAGAATTCAACTTTCTCTCTCCTTTTTCCAAAAACAATCAACTTTCACTCTCAACTATTGGTTGAAATGATTATAATTATCAATTATCAATATGCAATAAAAACATACCCAGATACTTAAAAATTCAACTTTCTCTCTCTTTTAGATTAAAAAAATTCAACTTCTTTTCTCAATTACAAACAATACATTTTTTATGATCAACCCAAGAACTTATCATTAAAATCTCACAAACCCAACAACAAATTTTCGAAGGAACACAGAAAACCTACCAAAAGATTGAAACTTTGAATATATAAAACTAAACCCCCAATAGTAAAAAAACAAGAGAAAAAACTTGTCTTACTTTTTGTAGTATGCATTTTGATTTCAAAATATAATGGTGATATGTTTCTTACTTTATGTATGTGATAATGATGATATCTTTGGAGAAGACAATGACTCCTTATAATAATGAACTGTAATAAATAATTGATTTGTAAATTAAACATTAAGGGTGATCTTGAAGATTAATGTTTGCTAAGTCACGTGTCACGCGTATGACCAAACGCTACATCAGATGTCACCCAAACAAAAGTTGACGTTGTTTCAAAAAAATGGACAGAAATGACTAAATGGACCTTTTTTAACAATTAAATGACCATTTTAAAACTTTTTAAAGATAAGGGACCAGAATAGATCCCGAGGTAAACTTAAAGGATCAAAAAGAATATTTTACCAAAAATAAAAAATATATTATTGAACTGTTTCTATGCATTTTCTATTCTACTCACGTTTTAGTCCAACCTTGTCAATTTTTTTTCTTCTGCATGTCAACTTTTGTTCTTGCTCCTTGCTTTAGTTGTTTGGCAAGAGTGAGGGGAACATTTTAGGAAGTGCATCTCCAAGTTTCAGATAATTGTTTGGACAAAATATGAGGTGTCTTATTTGTAACGTCTTTGTTGGTGCGGTTTTTAAACAAGGGTATTTTCAAGTTTTCAGAAGTGTGGAACGCACCTTTAAGAATAGAAAGAGTAACCCCCTTAAAATTATAGCAACCTCTTATGTAGTGGCCTGTATCTATTCTTGATCTTATCGGTGATCAGAATCCGTAATAAGATGATAACTGCGTCTCCTATGCTGGAATCACAGAGGAGGGGGTGTACCTGCAAGACACTCTGGTGCTCAAGTAAGTAAGATTGTAGAGATTCGTAAAAGATTTTAGGGTTTGAGAATTAAATATTGGATACCTGACTCTCACATGTGTGAGGATATTTATAATGCCCCAAGCGCTTGACCATTGGTCCATATTTTGGGGCGAATATCTAGGCCCAAAACACATAACTGCCAGGAACCTTACGAGCAGCTTGTGCTCGTAGTCTTGGGAAGGGATATCCGGAGCTAGCCGTTGTCACAAGCATGGATTCCCACGACTAGCTGTTGACGCAAGCAAAGACGTGGCTGAGGGAAGATGTGGGCTTGTTGACCCTGGTGGCGCCGGTCGTATGTCCCCTTCTGTCGGGCAGAAGGGAAAATTGTCCTTTGTTAGCCTTAATCGATTGGGTCGTTGCTTTTGTGCCATTTTGGACGTAGGAGTGGATTGATCCATCCTAGCCATTGGCCCAGTCCAGAACATGAGCCCCCCGAGTCGTTGCTGCTGGTCGTAGGAGTAATGACTTAAAGTCAACCCGTGCGCCAAGGAGGAATGAAAGACCGTTCATGATCGACAGGGTTTGCGGCATGTGGATCAGCATCGTCGTCTAGTGTACTTGCTATTGAAATTTATTGTGAGTTCGCATGTTCGTGGATGGCACGCGGGGACTATAGCTGGTAGTTTCAGCTAGTGTTCGTATTGAACGCTCACTAGACTTCTGTCTTAGGGTTTTTCCACGAGGAGGTGCTCGTGGAGAGAATGAAACTTTTCCGTTCGTGTTCGGTGTTCGAGGATTCGAAAAGTATGATGGATAATTAGAGATTGACACGTTACATGCCTCGAGCCATGTGGCTTACTGCATGGGTGATGAAGCTAGTTTAGGTCGTAAGGCTAATGATGGTTGGAAACGAATTTGCGTTTCCATAGGTGCAAGCGCGCGTGTCTGCTTGCCCTAGGGTTTATTTTTGTACCCCAAAATTTTCCCTCCCATATTTCTCAAAACATTTCAAGTGAGATCCTCAAGTTGCTCAAGGAAGTCCAAGGGTTGACCATACAAACTCTCTCCTAAGGCAGTCTACCTCAAATTAGGGTTTCATGTTGCATCAAGATACTAGAGTCCAAGGGATCCCAAATGCTCAACATTATCCTAATATGTTATCAAGATCATCCATGTCAAGTTTCAAGCCTTGCAGGGAAAGTTTGCTCAGTCAATTGCTCAAAGGCCTGAAAATCGATTGTGCTAGGGCAAAAGTCAAATGTGGCCCACATACAGTCAAACTTCAAGATTTTTGGTCAACATCATCATTTTTAAGTATTATTCATCTTTGATCAAGGGTTGATCATGATTCCTCAAGGATTGCTCACAATTCATCAAAACCCAAAAGTTTCTAAATTAGGGTTTTTGTAGGAAAAGTCAACTCAACTTTGACCAAGCATAACTTTCTCATACTTTATGAGAAATGACCGATCCAAAGCTCATTTTGAAGAGGATGAAATTCCCTACAATTCATCTTCATCTCCCAAGTTCAAAATATGCACTCACAAGAAGTTATGAATTTGGATATTATAGGTCATTTTGAAAAGTCAACAAAAACACTTTTTTTGTCAAAGCTTCATACATGAACATGGAAGACTCAATTGAGATGAGAACAAAAGGGTTGATTATAGGACATCTCAAGATTTCTAAAAAGTCCAAGAAAACATTCAAAGAGTCAAAATTGAAGAAGTTATGCATTGGTGAAGTTGACCTTTTTTGTAAAATTGCCAAAAGTCAAAAGTGCCTCAAATTGCAATTTTTGTTAAATGGGCCTAACTTTTTGCAGTTGTTTTGAGTTGGTAGCATGGTCCACGAGCCCTAGCTCTTTACACTTGCCTTTTTTTTTTTATTTTTACCATTTATTTTGATTTTTTTATTTCAATTAAATCAATTTAAATCAAAATAAATCATAAAAATATCCAAACCATTTAAGTCTTGAGATTTGGTACATGTTTCAAGTTCCTTATACAGCTAGCAACAAAATCAAATCGTGCAAGGCCTATGTGTGCATGAAAAGATTGGTTTTAGCCTATTTTTGGAATGATTTTCATGGAAATCAAATCAAGATCAAAAGCCATAATTGACAAAGATTGAAGGCACAATTGTAACCCTAATTCAATCAGTGGTATATAGTGGACAATTGCAGACAAAAATACAAGGTTTGGAGGCGTGGAGAGGAAGAACAAAACTTAAAAAAATCACCAAAAAGTGCTGATCTGATCTTGTACTTCCAGGCGTTTTCAAGACTCCTAAGCCATCTCATTCGCATCCTGGGCATACAAGGAAGCTATACCAATCAAGAACAAGCATTTTCCTGCGCTAAAACTCAATGTAAGTGGTTCAGGACCTTGAACTTTTCTTGAAATCGAATCACGTTATTTTGGCACTTTTAGCATGAGTTACTTACATATTCTTGTTCCTTGAAGCATTTGCAAGCTATCCATAACAATTAATTGCATTTTTGTTGGCTATATTGAAATCCACCATGGCTAGGGTTTTGTGTCTCGTTTTAGGATCTTTTTATACAGGCAAAATTAGTCCACAAGAAGGGCACCATGATGCTCAGCAGGCCAAGGCGATTTGATCTATACCATTAGATTTTGTTTATCATGCCTGTGTGAGATTTTGAGATATGCAGGGTTTGTAGTGACGAACCTATGTTCGTAGGTAAAAGTCTCTGACTTTTATCAACGGAGAGAGGAAGAAGATGACATGCGTGGCATCACTCTACTCGCCCATTTGAATTCTGGCGCGTGTTTTACAGCTATCTTCGTTTTATTCATTTTATTGTTTTTGTTTCATATACTAACAAATTGAACCAAGTGGCCCAGTGGTGGCCAAGGAGGCGCTAAGGCATTAGATGGCATGAGGTCAGGGGTTCGACCCCTGCCTCCAAATATTTGCAATTTTTCTTAAATTGTCTTTACAGATTCCATATCCCACGCACCAGGAAGGCCACCATGTGACCTCAAGGCTCCACCATTGGATCTCCAGAAGGCCAGATCTGAAGGCCATCATATGAAGGACCATCATACATCTTGGTCAATGCACAGCGCTGGATCAGAAAAGTCAATATGGGTCAGAATTGTTTGGGCCCAGAATTGCTATTGACACACCCCTCCAAATTACTTGCAAACATGCCCAATACTCTTTTTTTTTTAATTTTAATTTTTCCCTTTATTTAATTTATTTTTACAAACAAAAATTAATTCATTTTTTTTAATAAAATCATAAAATCAAATTTTCATCAAAAGTAGATTTAGGTTTTATTTTTTATAAAAATTAATTTAGTTAGTTAATTTAATTTATTAGGTAACTTTAATTTCCTTTGTAAATAAATTAAAATCAAGTAGAAGAATTATGGTTTGTTTAATTTAATTTTTATTTCTCTTTTCTCAAAAAATCACAAAAAATCACAAAATAGGTCAAATTTAATTAGTTTTTATTAATTTAATTTAATTAGTAATTAAGTTTGTACATATT